AACCGCTCATTTGCTGTATGTACTAAAAATGTGCATCAAGACGCAGACCGGAGTCTTCTGCTGACAGTGCGTCAACCCATCAGGCATGTGTAAGCACTTCAAATAGTTCAATCTTTTCTATTGAACACAAAATTATTCCATTACATTAGACACCAGAAATTTTTACCTGGAAGTGAATGTCTTCAAATTTTCTTCTTACTGAAGCTATATCGGCATCGCTGTCTTGGTCTACAAATTGAAGAGAAGTACCAAATAAAATCTAGTTGAACTCAAAACCAAACCAGGAATGTTTTTAAACACATGCTAGATAAACTTATTGACTAAACTAGTTCCCCTTTAGAAAACTGTTTTCTACACTGAAACTTTTTATCTGTATTACATTTCCATTTCAAGTGCAATTGAAAAGCATGGTTTATAGGATCATAAATGACTTGAAGGCAACAAATAAGAATGAATATGACTTGTTTGTAACCAGTTCTTCCAGATTTATGCTAACCATTTCAGAGACTGAAATATTTTCAAAGCACTGGTCTGCAGGATTCACTATTGAGTAATGTATCATTCTGATTTATTTCCCACTACATCACTGAATATCACAACAAAGATAATGAGGGCCTTCTACCATGCTTTCTTTACTTAGTTTCTTATTGCCAAGACTGCTTTAGAACTGCCAAGGTGAGAAATAAGGCAGACTGGAGAATATTAAAATGTAAGCACAAATCTTCCAACTCTACTTTTAGGTATTCTATAGGTATTTTTGTGAATGAAACACAATAAAACATTTTTTTTTTGCTAGATGTAGATGGACCTTCCAGTTCATCACTAGCTAAAGCCTCGGACTTTCACCATCATGAAACACGTGATTGCATTGTAAACCCCGACTTTTGAATTTCCCTGGCTGTTATAACTTTGACCCATGATCATGTTCACTGCAGGGAGAGAAAGAGAGGACAATAACCCTGAAAAGGAAAACAATAAGTGAAAAAATATTGGTTACGATTCCTACCACTTCACTGCCTCTTCGTATTATTATTAAATTACTAAAGAGAGAATGAAAAGTCTTTTCCATCTAATTCTATCTTCCTTGTTTGTTCCCTGTCAGTGCAATCATCAACTAAATCTCTGTGGTTAGCTGCTGCCACAGAGCTAGGATAAAGATATATATATGGAATAAATGCTACATTTGTGGGAGACAACACAACTTTGCATTTTATGGTAAAAATGTTGAGCTACCAGAGGGTTGGCTCTGCCAGTCTTGCTGACCCCAGCAGAATTATTTTATTAGAACTGAAACCCATACCTGACAGATTATCAAAGTTTCTTCCACACGACTAATGGAAGACAAGGTTGTGGTTGCTTTATCCACAGGAAATCAGTTACTAAACATCAGCAGTGGAGGAAGCAGTAAGAACGTTAATGTTTTACTCTGGAAAGGTTTCAGCCCCCAGTTTCTGTTGTAACAGTTGATACTTTCTTTTTGCCATAGTCTTCTTGGGTACAGAACTGGCAGACTGCTCCCTCCATGCTCATCATGACCAGACAAGGAATGGTCAACTTTATTGCGCCAATTACTACATAACAGGAAACAGCTTGTATAAACGTATGAATCCATCTGTACACAAGTCAAATACTCTTCCAGGCATGAAACCTCACAGAAGTGTAATTTTAGTATGTCTTCAATGTATTGTCAATCACACTTTAAATCACTGGAACATAAGTTATTAGCAGAGGACCATAGCACAGCACAGAACGGAAAGAAGTGAAGTACCTTCTCCAAGGAACCTTAACATGTTTTTAATGGCCAAAAGGGAAATTCAGGAATATCTTTGTTTCTCAGGTGCAGAGGACAGAAAAAAATTAAAACTCCCACCTTTCTCTCTGGAAAATTTGACCTATAATACGGGAAGTTATTTCACTGGAGATGTAGTCAATACACTATCATTACCCAAAATACATATCTTATTTAAGACATGAACATGTTAGTAAGGGGGTTACTGTAAATTTCAAGTTTTTGACTTCGATGTCATCTTCTAAATGTAAATACACTTAGATAAACATACAATTCAGATTGAACTCTACCCTTGATCTCTAAATATATTTTTCTGGGATACTATCCTAACAGATAGAATAAATTGTTCAGATGTCACTATACTTTACCATGCTACTTCCTGGGAAACCAGAGAAGGTAAACCAAATAATTTTCCCTATAAGGGAAGACCAATCCTTGCAGGTACAGCTGAGAGCTGTTTCACTTTATTTGTACCTGCTATTCACAGGCTTTGCCTACTTTGAGAACAAAAACACTCTATAATACCTAGAATAAACACTGCCTTCACTGAAAAGTGTGAAGCATTCTGTATGAATACTAAAGATGAAAAAAACCTGGCAAAGCTAGTGTTTTAGCTGAAGCTGCTAAAGATATGTTGTTTTTCTTTTTCTTAGCAGTTCCCATTCCCTATTGCTAACCTGCTGTATATTTCAAAAGAAAACAAACCCAAAATAAACCCACAAAGCACCTAGGGGAATTCCATTTTCAAGTGAGGAATCCAATCCCGCATCTCTAAGAAGCTAAGTTTTAGGTCTTTATTTGGAAAGAGCTGGGACTCAGAGGCTACTATAAATTCTCTCCAGCCTCTTCCTAGAACATTCACAAGAGGAGGAGGAGCGGATAATCATATTATTGTATGCTGCTGTTAAGATACCAATGTCTGAACTGCATCACTCATCCCATGAGTGTCAAGGACACAAAGGACGCATACAGAAGCTAAGATAAACCTGTGGAATTTGTTTTGTATATTTCATTGCACAGGTTGAGTAAAAATGAAGCCACATTTTCCAAATCCGCAGAAGGTATTTTATCACTCAAATAGATATTTGAAATGATCCTCTCAAATGTTAAGAGGACAAATTTCAGATTGCCATTTTCTATTTTCCCTCAACTGAAAAGTCATCGTCTGCCTTGGAGACAGCTCTGCATATGAAGCAACTGACTTCTACCAGAGTATTTAAACACCAGCTAACCGTACTTTGCTGCAACTGCTCTTTTAATCATTAAATGCGGGTTACCACCTAGCCTTAGTTTATGCAACATAGTTAAATTTTTTATGCACAAGAATGAAAAGTTCTTGAGTAATGCAAGTTTTAAATATTTTAAAAACAGTTAAAGATTTTTACCACTAATTAATAAAATCAATGAATTATTTGTGCATACAAAGTCAAAACCACACAAAATTTTGCAAACAGGCCACAAGACTGATGCTGAAACTGTTACAAACACTAATGAAGATGCATGGTTGCAGCTGAATGCAATATCCATGTTTACCAGACCACTAGAAATTACCGTATATATTCTAAGTATTAATAAAACTTCTTTTGCCACTTATGACAAAGTTTTAATTTCTCTGTTACTTTCTTTATTAAGAAAAGGTAATTGAATGTATTTCACATTGTCTTCTTAACATATCAGGGATTCAGGACTGAGTTTGTAAAAAGGAATGCAGATATCTATGTCATAGTACTACTAGTCTCTACTTTCTGAAAAAGTATATTAAAAAATTATGAAAGAAGTTATGTGCAATCTTTTTTCAAAAGATTTAAAAAAGGTAGCTAAAAAGTAAATTAAAAAGACTCACCTATACCAGATGTATCCACATGAGAGTTCTCAGGAGATTCCTTAAAAGCATATGAAAGGAATTTTAAGACCGGGTGGCATAAGCTTTATTACCTAGTCCATAGAACTTCCTGCTCTCACTACTTGCTCTTTTTTTTTTTTTTTTGAGGGGGGTGGTGGTAGTGACACAAATCCAGCTGTATTCCACAAACTATGGTGTCTACATGACACCATCTTTATTAACAAATCTGTATGCAAGTTTGTAGGGATACACATCTGATTACTCAGTGGGGAAAACTATTTTCTACCCAGCCCTTCTATGTTCACTTAGTGCCAGGAGAAGCTATTATACAAGAGCAAAAAACAGTTGACAGATGAATTATAAGCAACAAATCTTTATCAGTATGTATTGGGGATTTTCTCTGTGTTCTGGTGTATAAGAAAAGTTTCTTACCTGCCAACTTTAAACAATTCTTAATTGCCTACTTCAATCAATCTATATAAAATATTTCAAATAGGGTTTTTTTCTCTACTTTGAGCTTTTATGCAACTATCAGGACTTCTCCATTTACGTGGGTAAGGAGCCTTTTTAAGAAGTTTACCATCTGACATCAAGTTCTTCAGAATTTCTCTAAAAAAAAGGCTAAATCTGTTCTGTCCGTTTCAGTCACAAAATTATATATTGTGGGTTAAAATGACACAATCTTAACTATCATTTATGTAGAACAAATAATTAGGAGTGACCAGTGAGATGGTCTGTACTATTCTTCAAATGCTGAAGATTTTCTCCTTAAAAAGATAAGGAGTCAAAAGAAGTTATTCCAGACAACCAGGTTTTAGGAACAGTAATTTAAAAAGTTAGATGCACATATTGCCTATCTAAAAAGTCACTTTATGGTTTAAAGCCTATATTGAACTGCTCTATCTCCCTTTAAATAAACTTCAAAGAAGAGTAGAATTCAGCTGAAATCCATGGGTGATATCATGGCTGCTATTCAATACCCCAAATATCACAATGGGAGGAAGGATACGTAATTATATGAAACATAACTAAAGCCTACCGCATAAACATGAACAGAGACATACTAAACATTTTTTTTTTTTTTACAAGTTTAAAATGCATGGTTCCACTATCACAAATTATATTAGATCACCACATACAGAAGCCCAGGACTTGAATTCATCACCATCTCAAAGCACAGAACCTATCAGGTGAGGAAACAATCTGGGGGAGTATACTAGATGATCAGCATTAACCAGAACATGAAGAGTTTAATTTTATATGAACATGTACCAAGTAAGTTAAGATACCTCTTTCCTAAAATGATGCAACTACATGTGGGGAACTACATGAGGGGAAATATAAAACAATTGTTTAATAAAATACCCGAAGTTTGAAGAACAGCAATGAAGGAACTACAGCAAAATACTAAAGCCTTCAATTTTTCCCGAAGTACTTACTGAAGAAGAATAATGTGACTCAACTCAGCAATTAGTCGGTCTTCAAAATTTTTTATAACTCTGGCATAGGACCACCTGCTCATTATTAGTTTCTTAGTTTTTGACTACATAAATACATTTTCCCAAAGAGGCTTTATAAAAATAGATGCAATGTGGGGTACCCATACCTGATGTATTGTTGAATGCCCATCTTCAAAAACACTGGTCAGTTGCTTTGACATGTCTTAGCATGCATGGGAGAAAAAAAAGAAGATTTTGATTTGATAGGTCACAGATCGATGTTGTACCTGAATTCATTAATTCTTCATTTGTACTCTGAAAAATTTGTATTCTGAAAAATATTTAACAAACATTTAACCAATTGAGAACATACATAGGATGGAAAAAGAATAGGCAGGTGACAGAACAACATTCTAGTGAACTACAGAAGATAAATACTGGTCAGAGATGTACATCTACCACATTACATGTTTTATTCTTAACCCATGAAGCATCACAAAGTTTGCCCCTTCATCAGGTGGTATGACTTGTAGAAAAGGAAGACAGGTGCAAATTTTTGTGCATTTTCTTGGCATATGTTGAAAAGGATAAGGAAAAGACTTTGAAAAGAATAAGAAAAAGACTAACTACTCCTGAAACCTGTGGGCAGAGCCCCAAACTTCTATGGCTTCTTTTAATGATGTTTGGCACAAGGGAGCCTTCCAAAACTGCTATGCCTGTCTTCCTGCACAGACCAACCCACAATATTTTGGGGTCATCCCATCTCCCCATTTATTTCATAAGCAGCAGAAGAAATATAAAGAGTGTAAGAGCTGTCAAATGTAGCAGGTATCTCCCCTTTTTACATTTCAATCTATGCTGGGTTCTTCATTGGCTACAGTAACTCAGACATAAATAAAATCCAAAACATATTATAGCAACAGAGAAGTAGCTGTCTTCAAGTAAATGTGACTAACTCATGCACATAGGTACTATTTACTCCTGTAAACACTACATATTTAATAGCGCCAAGCATACACCCAGAGATTTCCTAAAGACTTAAAGCATATGGAAAGGAACATAAAGATGTTGTCTGTTCCTTCTTCCATTTTAAAGCAGGAACCAGTATACCTAACACCTCTAGAAGTCTAACCGATTCTTAATAACAACTCCATAATCTCCAAGACACATATTTCAGAAATTCCTTATGTTTACGTTTGGAAAGCTTTTCTAACACTTAACCTAGAGGTTCTTTTTTGTTATGGGTGTTTGTTCCTCCCCCCCATTTGAATCCTATCACCAGTGGCTCTAGCAATTTTTTCTTGTGGCTCCCTCCAGCTAGTCAACCTACTATTGAATACAAAACAAAGTATCACTGTCAAACAGTGCAGAAAACCTGTTTTGTGTGCTTAACGTTCCAGGCACCTGCGCATATCTTCTCGCAGAGGGTACTCTATTTTCACAGGAGTTAGATTCTTGGTTGGATCAACCAGCGTTCGAAGTTATCTCTTCCTGCAATTGATTATTCCTACATAGATCTATTACTTTGACCATATCTGCATGAAATTACACAAAGTTTACTATAAGTTTTAGCTGCAATGTGCCAGACCATCTTTGAAAGTGGGCATCCCAACTTGGTATCATCGGCAAGTTAATTAAAGGTATCCTCCTCCTAAACTATCTACTTATTAAAGGTATAAATTAGTAATGTGATCAGGACAAGTCCTAGAAAAAATCCCCTCATGTTTCCCTTCTGTTTGGACACAGACCATTGATGATTACTCTAGACAGTTTTTCAACCAGTAGGAAACTGGGCTGTAAACCTACTCTCATATAACGTTAAGGAAGCATAATACACAGAGGAAAGGAGAGGGCCTACAAGGAGGGTGACTGGGGGGCTTTTTACAAGGGCCTGTAGTGACAGGACAAGGGGTAACGGGTTTAAATTGAAAGTGGGGAGGTTTAGATTAGATGTCAGGAAGAAGTTCTTCCTGGAGAGGGTGGTGAGGCACTAGAACAGGTTGCCCAGAGAAGCTGTGGATGCCCCATCCCTGGAAGTGTTCAAGGCCAGGCTGGATGAGGCTTTGAGCAACCTGGTCTAGTGGAAGGTGTCCCTGCCCATGGCAGGGGGGTTGGAACTGGATGGTCTTTAAGGTCCTTTCCAACCCAAACCATTCTGTGATTTTATGATAAGGCTCTAGAAGGCTCTGGCTTCACCTGCTCAGGAAATTTGTGTTTGCTATTTTGCAAAAATCCACAACAACACTTCCTTGAGAATACACTAGCGATGCACTTTTTTTTTTTTTTGGAAGCTGCATAAACTATTTTCCAAACATTTCTGGATTGGGAACACAGGAAATGAAAACACAGTAATATCCCATTGAAATCCCTTACTGAGCAAGATCTGTGAAACACCACGGATCATGTTTTGTTTCTAAAAAAAAAAAATCCTCGTAAGGAAAGAAAGAATTTAAGTGGCTAATTATGACAGAAATAATTGCTCTTGGAGATTGGAACTGAACATACTTGGTCCTCCCATACTCAAAACTGACCTAAGAGAGAAAAACCTAAAACACTCAAATCATTGTCATTTTACCCATCAAAATTTCACAGGGGTACTGGACATTCTACCTAAATAGTAAAATATATTCTAGCAAAATTCAAGTTGTCAGTTATTTTTAACACAAATTCTATTCCAAGGGAAGGGGTTCATCAATAGGTATTTGGGTCTTTTAAAAGATAATCTAATATCTTTTTAAGATATTTTAAATGTTAACCCTTCACAGCACAGTATTTTATGTATCCTAATTGAAACTACATTATTAGACCCAGGTGAAAACATAGAATAAGAACAGGTAAAATGGGCCCAGCAGCTTTAATAAACCATAGCCAGGAGAGGCTTTTTTTTTTTTTAAAGGTAACACCTATCACAGCCAGCCAGCTCAAATGCTTAAGCCATGTAGCTTTGTGGTTCAAATAAAAAAGTCAATGCAAGATATGATTTGCTGAAATGGAACAAAATCAACAAGATTTCATCTTTCTCAGCATATATAAATATACACATGTAAATACAAATCTGTAAAAGTGGGGTTTTCCTTATAAGAAAAGCTATTAATACTAGTGATATTCCCTCACATCAGAAGCATGTGATAAAATATGCAACACGAAAAATACACCTCAAAACCTTAAGAACATAAAGCCCAAGATATCTCCACTATACTACACACCATAATTACTACACCCCCATCACTAATCTCTGTAGAAACATACATTTTATTGGAACATAGAGGTCCTTCTCAGAACAATAAGAAAATCTTCAGATGTCACAATCTCCCCAAGTAGCGTCATAATTACACTTTGATATGTAGTCTTGATTTGACTTCCATCATGGTACTTGATCTCTAACAAAATAACTATACAGTACTTTTTCCTGCAGGCAGCCTGATTTATTCAGTATACAGAATTATCTGCTAAGTTTTTGCTAGCTCATGATGCAATTTCATGAGATTCTTTTAACATATCCTTTTAATATGCCTACTTATCTAGTTATTTTCAAAAAGTTAGTAACTCCCAAATTTTTCCACCTGTACACATAAATCAGGATTGGAATTTTTAGATTCAGTGAACACCTGACAAAACCAACAAATACAGCAAAAAACTTACTGTTTAATTGATAAGGGGAGATTTTAATCAACTTGTAATAATGGAACTATCAATTATAACAAATTTATTAACAATTTTAAGCTACATTTCAGAATCCTTATGAACATAAGGATTCTTTTTTTTGAGTGGTTCCTCCCACAAAAAAACAGTGAGTATCCTAAAGATTTTGGCATAAAAGCAGGACATCTTCTGTTAGGTCAAGACTCTCTAGATACATTTTATAGCTTTCTTTTTTTTAAACACTTTACCTGCATTCCTTTGACTTCCTCTATTACGCTGCAATTAGAAATAGGAAAAAAAACAAATGTCAGAAGAATCTTAAAATAGTAGTTATTTCAACCAATGTCTTTATTTACTTTGGTATGTTTCACAACTAGGCACTTTCTAAATAACTATTCAGTTTCCTTCAAGTTTCCCATGGCCTGACTGGAAAAGCAACAAATACACAGTAAAACTTACCTGATCGTTCAATTCCTGCCATACTGTCACTGTTAAAATCACTGCGAGAACATAAGCTATAGCCTCTTATGTGGCTCAAGGTAGACAAATCAGAGAATTCCTCTTACAGCCCTTAATGGATTTAGTTTGTAAATTGTGCAGCATTGCTTAGTAGATGACTGATAAGGTATTACCAGGAGTAGAAAAGGAAAGGGAAATAAACCCCCTTTTCTGTCTCCACTAAATCTACTCTTGTTCCCCAGGACTGAATTTCACTCCTCGTCTCCTCACTCTGTGGGGTTCAAAACAGCTTCAGTGTTAACCAGGCACACTACACAGCTCAGCTTTTTAGACAGCTATTAGGGATGTAGCAGCAAGGTGACTTTTGACAGTTATGTGAGAAACGCTGAGATTTGATGAAATTTACTGTTGAGTTCTTACGCAGGAGTTTAGGCAAAAGAAACGACTGCTCGTGTAACGTAAATCCTCAGAACAAAAGAATTCAGATCATATGGCCACAACAGTAATGGCTTAGCCTAGCATGGACAGAGGCTACTGAGACTGCAAAGACTTTAATTGCTCTAGCAGTATTTTACAGGGGGGGGGGAAAAAAATCTAAAGATGAAACCAGTAAGCCCTTCAGAATTGAGAAGCTGATTTTGCCTGCATAGTGGAACTATATTATTCGATACCTCAAGTACTTCCTTCTTCCACTTTTTAAGCTTCTTGGTTGACACTTGGGCCCATTTTTTTGGTCCTAGAAATAAGAAGAGATATGAACATAAAAATAGCTTTTCTTGTAATGCTATCTATACCAAGTATCCTTCTAACAGTCATAAACATGCAGGAAGACACATCACAGAGTAACAAAACATCAGATCTGAACAACCTCCAATACAATTGCTGAAATGAAAACATAAGAAATCAAGCCAAGAGAATATTGTAATTTCAAGTTGATTGAGAAGTCAGGCAAAAAACAAGAACACTTCATATGCTGAGTCTAAAAAAAAAGCATTAGAGCCCCAGATGAGATGAAGAGGAGGAAAAAGAGCTAATTATTTTACTTTAAAAATTTTATTTAATGCATGCAAACTACAGGGTATCTGATGTTACTTAAAGCCATAATTTTAAAGTCCTCTGCAGGACTGACATCCATATTAATTCCATATTGAAGAGGTTACTACCCCAAAATCATAAGCAAGTCTTCGCAATTCCAAGACTGGGCTGTATGCATGTTTGCTCCCTCCCTCAATGGACAAGATACATGAAATGCTATAAAACGCAAACTTCCCAGTCTGTAAAAGCCTTTAAAAAGTAAATCATATTGGGTGCAACAACTACATTGGGCTTGACACTGTGGCAGTACTTCACGTGTATGTCCAGCAAGTTCTTCACAAGAATTGATATGTCAATTTACATTCCATAATCCCCACTTGAGTGATGATAAAAACTAGCAGAACATTTAATTTCCCAGTAAAACCACCAAGATACTGTCACAAGTCCCACTAAACTCCTGAGCAATGTATTTTAGAACAACAGGGGTTTTTTCCCCCCACAATAAGCTCTCCATAAGCATTATCAACTCTATAATGGATCAACAGTTGTAATGAAACACTGGAAAAATATGACATGTCATAATACAGTATAGATCTATGCTAACCACATGAACATTCGATGAAAAGTTAGACACTATCTATTCAGTCCACCCTGATATTTGACGTAGCACATATTTATCAGACAGCCTTCAAAATACAAGGCAGAGATTGACTATAGAATCCATTCATGCATATCAACATCCTGCTAATAACTCCATTCCTTTGTTACCCTTCAGTCTCCTCTGTTTTGGTTCTTCTTACAAGATGTCCCAACATCAACCATTGTTAACCTGAACTTTGCTAATAATTTTTCTGTTGTCTCAAACAGGGCATGCAATGGATTAAAATTGTGCATATAAATAAACTCTCCAGGTATTATATAAGTTTATCATAGAATCACAGAATGGTTTGGGTTGGAAGAGACATTAAAGATCATCTGGTTCCAGCTCCCCTGCCATGGGCAGGGACACCTTCCACTAGACCAGGTTGCTCAAAGCCTCATCCAGCCTGGCCTTAAACACTTCCAGGGATGGGGCATCCACAGCTTCTCTAGGCAACCTGTTCCAGTGCCTCACCACCCTCTCCAGGAAGAAGTTTATCAAAGTTGACATGTGAAGTGACATACCTAGGTGGACAAAATTCAGTATTTGTTGTAGCACAATGCTATATATCTGACAACAGTTGCATGCTTCACTAACTCTAAATACACAGCACCTAAATATTGAAACTATAAGAAGTTCTTACCATCAGGCGTATTGTAAGTAAGAGTTTCCATGGAAACAAGAAAATCATCTTCAAAAGGATGATTATACTAAATAAAAAGGACCATGAAAAATGAGAATAAATGTTAAAACAATGTTTTTAACATGCATCTTAAGTATTGTTTTTATACATTTTGTTTTGAGCATAATGTGAAATTATCGATATGTTGTTTACAAGTCAGCAATCTGGAAATGTTAATTCCTAGAAGAAACAGACTTTAAGCATGCTTGCAAGCCATTCAATTTCAAGGCATAAGCTAGTTGCTGACAAAATGGGGCTTCATGGAGTTTTCAAAAGTAGTTGGTACCCTGTTACCGTTTTGGGGTTTTTTTTTAACTCTGTAGTAACTGGAAGTAATCACTTCATGTAGACCTACGGCTCATGATACATCCAAAAAAAAATTCAATCTAATACTAGATGAGAAAAATGTTCTCAAACCAGACTTAGCCTTATGCCAGTACATAGACATTAGAACAAAACTTTTCCCTGAACAGCAAAGCTACATCCCTGAGTAAATACATGTGTCTCTGGAGGGAGGTGTATGGTTCCCACACCTTTAAAACAAAATGGGTCTAAAGGAGATGATCTTTCTGTAGTTTTATTGAAAATATCTCATCTAATGCTAACTAATTTGGGTTAAGGGCACTATACAGACAACTCGAAATTAAATGTAAGTCACTTATTTAAACTGGCAACCCTGGATCTAAGCTTTATGCACGTGTTCAAGGCTCTTTGCTAGCTCACTGACACCAAGGCGCAGAAGTGCATGGCTCAGCATAACCTGCAAAGCTGCATGAGGCCCTGGGTGACAGCTCCTTTTGACAGTCAGGAAAAACAGGAGCTTGTGACACCCCATGTAATGAATTGACCAAGAGAACTCAATGTCAGTTACTGCAAACTAGCGGACGGACGAAAAATGGACCGTGTCAGTGCTGACACAGCAGGACTTAAGAGGCGGTCAGGAAGGAGGGAGTGGTGCTGCTGCCCAAGGCGAGGGGGGCAGAGGGCCGCACTGCCTCGCGGCCTTCTAGAGCCGCTCAGAGGGACGCACGAAGGTGGCCAGGCCCGGCCCAGCTACGCCATCAGCCATTTGGGCAGGGGAAACCGTAAGCGGACAGCGTTCCCGAGACAGGCAGGAGCCAGAGGCCCCGCAGGACCCGGCCTTGCAGATGACAAGAGCTTTCCCGCCGCCCCCTCGTAAAGGATTACGCCAAGACCCCCGTCCACCGGCTGGGGCGGGGCGCGAATAACGGCCCTCACCCGCTCCATGATACGGTTGATGGAGGCCACGAAGCGGGCATTACTCTGCCGCAGCCGCTGGTCCAGGTCCAAGTCCAA